CTCTTTGTCGTCAGCTGGCAGACGGCAAAGAGGTGGCAGACGGTAAAATGCCAGATTCCAATAGTGTATGAGCATTTCTCTCAAAGCATAGGTTGAACCTTTCTCTCGAATAGCTGATGAAAATTCTTTCAGTACACTGACAAAGTATAAGGTCATCATTTTTATGTTATCTTTTCTCCATTTTTGTGCAACTACCATCATTTCACCTAAAAACACTGAAGTTTTTATGCATCTACAAGAGTTGCAAAGAGCTGATGAAAATTCTTTCGATACACTGTGAAACTACACTATAAAAAGAGTAATTATCACGCTATGTCTCTCCTCCAAGGAAAGGCGACTAGGGTTTCTACCTCTCGTCGGTGTCATCGCCGATTTGCCACGTCTCCTGTGGCCTTAGGGCCATGGGTGTGCGGTGGATCCCGACCCTTGCCGATGGGAGGGCTTCGTTTTTTTGGTGCTTCTTCAAGTTTTTTTAGGGTTTGTGTCTTGCTCAGGAAGACGAGACAGTGACGGCTTCTTCAAGATGGAACAAGGTTCTCCCCGCCTAGCCCCCGGCCCGATTTAGCTTCACCAGAGGGCGTGTGGAGGTGTGTCTCCGGCTGATCTCGCGGAATTTGGTCGGTGGTTGTCTTCGGTGGATCTGTTCGGATTCAGTCTTTGTTCATGTGTGTTCAGGTTGCATCCATTCGATCTAAACTTCTCTTCATCAGCAGCGGTTGCTTTTCTGGTGCGTTGGTCCTATGGGCTTTAGCACGACGACTTTCCGACTGTCTACTACAACAAGTTGTGTCCGGCTCCGTTGAGGGAGAAGCGATGACGGCGGCGCGCCTTCGGCTCACTTCAGTGTTTGTAGTCGTCGCTAGGTGGTCTACGAATCTGGATGTAATTTTTATAATTTCTGGTGTTCGTTGTACTGCCATGATTGAAGATGAATAGATTGAAAGTTTCTCAAAAAAAAAGTACACTATCATCATTTTATGTGCTTTTTTCTCTATTTTTTCCTGTTTAATTATGCATTGTCTTTGAGAAATCGATGAGAAATAAAAGTCTCGCAGCCAGGCCCAAGAGAACCGTTTCTTCAGTCGAGACAACCCGTCTCGCAGCCGGGCTTATCCGAGAGTCTAAGCGGGCCATTGGGCCGAGAACACAGCGGTCCATCGCGCCGATCCCATCCCACGACCTAGGGTTTCTCCTCGCCCGCCGTGAGATAAGACCCCCTCACACCCCCGCACGAACGGCTTCTCCCTCCCCCATACGCCGCCGCCGCCGCCCGCCCGCCCGCTCCGCCGCAGTTCTCCCAAGGTACTGCCAACTCACTTCCGCGCAGACGAGCACGCTCTCGGTTCCGGATCTTCTCACCTCGAGTTTCCTCTGTGCGCTGTGCAGATGGCGGTGCCTCTGCTGAAGAAGGCGATCGTGAAGAAGAGGGTGAAGCACTTCAAGAGGGCGCACAGCGACCGCTACATCGGCCTCAAGGTGAGACCCCTAGCTCGCTCGCTCTCGCTCTCGCCGTCGCCGTCGCTCGCCCGGCTTCTCTTCCAGAACCGCGCCATTTTTCTAGATGGAGTGCCCTTGGCTTTGTTCATGTGGGGTTCGGGCGCCTGTCCCGACCTCCTCTGCTAGCTCTCGATGCGTGGATCTGGTTTAGATGTCCCGTTAATTTGCTAGCGTCGTCTGCGTAATCGTGGCTACAAAGTTTGGCCTGGGGGAGTGGGGGTTGGTGTTTAGTGAGCACAGTAGGGGATGGTTCTGATTTTCGATGAACCTGTATATATTTTGTGTACGCACCACTGACTCGTATGGCGGCTGGAAATTTCCTTTTAAGCTGTGGTGTGTTTGTTCTTGGGAGCTAGTTGTGGAAAATCCCCCTTGCTGTATGGAATCCACTGGAAAAATTGAAAATGGTTTGATATCCCACCACACACTAGTTGGTCCTAGTGGTATTGATGAACTGTAGTATTTCATTGTTGATTCGTATGGTGCACTGTGATGCTTGAAATTTCGTTTTTTAAGCTGTGGTGTGTTTCTTCATGAGAGTTCATTGTGTATGCTGCATGTAGCCTTGTGAATCAAGTTATGCATGCCTGTTGCATTTAGCATGATATAAAATAAAATTCCATGAAAGCTTATTACTACATCAGTTGCTTGCTCCAGGTGTCTGTGTCTTGCATTTTATCCTGGTGTGCACCGACGGCACACATGCGATATTTCTAGATAACAAAGTCAGATACCCTCGAATTTTTGTATGGTTGGATCATGTTGGTTTCATCCATCTGATTATAATCTTTGTATTTGGACAACTCATTTAGCTATAATTAGTTGTTGCATCACATGTCTTCTTGAAGTTGGTGCTAATTCTAGTTACTTTGTTACAATGGTCTGTTCTTTTAGTACTTCGCAATGTTTGTATGCTTAACTAGTACTCGCTCCGTCCCATAATATAAGAACGTTTTTGACACTACACTAGTGTCAAAAACGTTCTTATATTATGGGACAGAGGGAGTAGTTGCCAATTCGCCATAAAAGATTCAGTATGTCTATCATCTCAACACCGCATATGCTTTTCTGTTTTGAACGTTTTTGACACTACACTAGTGTCAAAAACGTTCTTATATTATGGGACAGAGGGAGTAGTTGCCAATTCGCCATAAAAGATTCAGTATGTCTATCATCTCAACACCGCATATGCTTTTCTGTTCTGTTATGAATAGTTTCGTCATTCTGGTAATACACTGGATGCTTGGAGAATGGATCTGCCCTGTTTTTTTCCCTTTCTGTAGTTGCTGAAGTTTGATGTATAGTGTTAACTAATTCTCCTGTTCTGCTCTTATCTGTAGCAAAGCTGGCGTAGGCCAAAGGGTATCGACTCCCGTGTCAGGCGGAAGTTCAAGGGATGCACCTTGATGCCCAACATCGGGTACGGTTCAGACAAGAAGACAAGGCACTACCTGCCCAACAAGTTCAAGAAGTTCGTTGTCCACAATGTCTCTGAGCTGGAGCTGCTCATGATGCACAACAGGTATGCATTTCAAAACTACTCATCAAGCTTGATTGCTTATGAGGAGAGCTGCAGCTATCATCTTCCATGTCTAGTGCTCGATCTTGCAGCGCTTGCTAATGACTATCATCTTTCTGCAAACAGGACCTACTGTGCCGAGATCGCACACAACGTGTCCACCCAGAAGCGCAAGGCGATCGTGGAGCGTGCTGCGCAGCTCGACGTCGTGGTCACCAACAAGCTTGCTAGGCTCCGCAGCCAGGAGGACGAGTAAAGCATTATCTAGTCAACTAGTCTTGGTTGCTACCTTTGTAGTAGACATTGCATCCCTGTTTGAGAAGAAAAATACTGCCATTTTGCAAGATTTCATGTATGGACCGCCTTTTTGGTGTGAGCAATGGTGAAATGTACTATCTGGTTTTGTCGGTCGCATGTGTTGAATTTGAGTAGAGACCTGTGTGTTGGTTTTCCCTTGTGCCTCATAACGTTTTGGTTGATGCATTTGCTGTTATTGTTCCTGGAATGTTTCGTGGTGCTGTTGCTATTTCTTCTTATCAGAAAGAAGTTTGGGAATGGCTACACGTCAGTTGCCAACTCGCCGGAAATTGATTGACCCGGCTGACATTTAGCTAATGTGAAGAACATTTTGCTAACGTGAAGAAGTTTTAAAGAATTTGCTGTCGGTATTTCTTCTTGCCTGAAAGAAGCTTCAGATCAATTACCTTGCCTGAATCGACCACAGATATGAATGAAGCACTGGTCTGGAACATGGTGGATTGGCACTTGTCAGTTTTGGTTGTCATACTGCTCTCGTCTGTCTGAACTTTGGCCCTGAAATTTCTCTCAACAACACAGGCCAAAGCGGGACCAGGAAACAAGTGATCCAAACTCGTCAGCCACACAGGTCGGAAGCCGGAACCATACCATCATCACACGCCGCATATCCACGATATACTACTCATTCAGTTCATCCAAGTAAAAAGCCATTGCCGGACGACAGCGATATGCGCAAGAAATTCGACCTTGGCTGCTCGACAGATTCACATGGGCAAGATAAGATGAAGCCCGGCCGCCGCGCCGGATCACTCGACATGGAGCAGTCAATCGCTTGCGCTGCACTGGCAGGCATCCACTGATCGGCGCTCGCTCGTGGACCTGATCGTCCGCCTCTGGATAACGGGGGCCAAAAGGCAGCCGTCCTGGAAGTCATGGGTTGATCTTTTCGTTTCTTCTCGTTGGTAGGAATGTCGAGTTACTGTCCAGGATCGCCGCGACGGCGACGGCCCGCTGAAGCCGCATCTGAATCATTGGATTCGTAATCATCACTCTCCATTTATCCCTTTCGACGCCTTCCCCGTTGATGGGCACATATGGATCGTGACCTGATGCGATTGCCGGTTTCATCCACGCCTCTCTGGGAAAAATTCAGAAATTATTTTTGGTACCGGATCGATTCTCCACCGACGCTGGGCAGGAAGAAATACTATGGTATGAGCTCACCTCACCTGATGTCTTGATTCTGTAGCTCAATGCTGTGCTAATTAAGCCTGCATGGTTTCCTTGTAAGTCCTCTCACGGCAGACTCCGTGTCCACTGTTTAACGAAAGCTGCTGCTTCCTCTCAAGAAAAGAGAGAGAAGTTGCTCACCCCGATTCTTTGAAATTACTGCACTATGTTGCAGACAACTGTGCAAGAATTTGGAGGGAAAGAACCACTTCTGAAATAATGATGTTATCAAACAATCTAATACAGTGCCTGAAAACAAGAAGTGCGGCACAAGCATCGTGTCGTGGGTCGATGCAAAAAAAAAAAGGCTTGACATGCCACCAAACAATAAAGAGCCAATCGCGAAACACGTGCTCGAAGTTATATATATTCTTTTCTTCTCTTTATTTATGTCCATTGTTCCTATGTTTTTTCCATGAGAATTCCTTGTTCTTGTGGTCAATGTACTTATGTAGTAGAGTAGCATTTCCGTTGTGTATCAACTGAGGCCTATATGTTTAGAAATTCTCTTGTTCCAAAAGAGGCCTATTTCCCTCCCCTTTTCCGGCCGGATCACTCACATTTCGGGGCAACATCTGAGCTATCAGCCTTATCATATCATGCATCCATTCTTTATGACATCATAACTGTTGGAATTGAGATATATAGGCCCCTCCCTGATTGAGTGATCGGATAGAAGCAAAGGGCCAGCCATTCAATCTTTTCCTTCCCTCCTTCCAGGGTTTTATTCAGATCCAATGCACAGTTATCATTGATCAGTTCCCCGGAGCTACAGTCCCATCATCATGGACCATGACAATATCATGGATGCATGGTCTCATCACATTCCATATACAGTACGACATCGCCACCCGATCGCCCGCCGTCGTCGTCCCCGCCCCCACCACCCGCAACGGCACCGAGCGTGATCCGAGAGCTCGACGGCGACGACGACATCAACGATGGATGCACCGGTGTTCGTCCTTCGGGCACGTCGCGCGACCCCCCTCCATGGAGAGAGCAGCACCGGCCACTGGGAGGGGAGGAGAGGGACCTGTGCATTATAATTTCTAGTGCCCGTCAGCGGGGTGAACATGTGACACGAGAGGAGGAGCGCAAGAGGAGGCCGGCTGTACCATTTCGCCATGATTGTGTTTGTGTAGCCCCTCAAGCAATCGGGCATTCAATTTTAAGGCCGGCGGATATATATTGCGGGGGGTCGGCGAGTTCGGCGGGCGACGGCGATCCAAGAGTCGTGACGTCTCGGTGATTCGTATCGAATGTATGGGAGTAAACTCTACAGTAGTATACTATACTGCGGGAAGTGCGGATTGATATATAGCTTGCTGGTTTCAGTTAATACATAACAGTTGAGCAGTGCCTTGCTCCGGGGTCCAAATTCATGTCGTTTTTCGACGTCGGCATGGGTTACAGAAGTTCTCTAGGGAGACTAGTGTCAAAAACGCTTTTATACTATGGGACGGAGGGAGTAGTATATTTTGGCCAATCATTCTGGATGCTAATAAAAGTTTCTTGAAATTTAAATTAGGAAGATATTATGAGATAATTTATGAAACCACTTTCAGTAAATTACCCATGGAAGATACACTAGTACTATGAGATAAGAAGATACACTAGTACTTCATGGTATGAGATAAGAAAATACTCCCTCTGTTCACTTTTATAAGGCTTTGTAGATGTTCCAGGCATTGTGCAAAACAGCTCAATTTCACTTGTCTGAAACGACTTATAAAAGTGAACGGAGGGAGTACCTTCTGTCCATATGTAACACTCGTTTAAAGCAAGAAAATATGTGAAGATTATCAAAGCATATCCGAAGACGGAACACGATCACTGATTGAGTACTCCGGACGTATGTTCTGAAGCAAGCAAAGTTTTCAGTGCAGTGGCGCCTATTCAAGCACAGTGGTAGCACTGGCGTATCGACAGGCGGGGGTATCTGTCCGTCCATGTACAATAGAATACAGTGGCCCATACATACAAGATACAGTGGCGGGCGGCCCTCCGGCTCCAGCTCTTGCCGGTATTCCATTCTTGTACGAAAGGGCGTCCATCCTCGGGTCTCCGGTGCAGTGCACATTCTCAGCTCATGCGGTTCAATTCGTGAGCTGTATATGCAGCCGTCAGTCTCCCGGACAGCCTGTTTGTTGCTCGCTGACGACAATGACAATGCCGCAACAGTCCCGCGATTCAATGGGGATTTTCCTCAGCTCTGAAGCGACTAAGAGAGAAAATTAATGCCCCCTCCGTCCCAAAACAAGCGTCTCAACTTTAGTATAACTTTATACTAAAGCTTAGTTTAGTTTTGTATTTTGTACTAAAACTTAGTACAAAGTTGAGACACTTATTTTGAGATGAAGGAAGTACGATCGAAGCCGATCGAGCACGACGTTGAACCTAACCGCGGGGATCAGTATGGCATAGGGTTCCTCCAGAGACTGGACACCAGAGATATGTAGGGAGGGGGGCAGCAAAAGGCCTCGGCCTGATGCTGATGCGGCACTAGTAGCAAGCAACACACTTCGGCGTAACGCAACCTTAGAGCAAGCTCAAGCAAATTACAGCTGCATGCTGTGTTCAGAGAAATGGATATCTGTTCAAAAATAGTAACAATTTCTTTGGCTGTGTGCATCACCCGACGCAGAGGTCGGAGAGGGTTAGCCACCGTGCTCCGGTGAGAAGAGAAACACGGTCGATTCATGGTAAATTGTTTGTTTACCGTGGGTAACCGGGAAAGTTCCTGCGTTCCAAACAGGGCCTGAGTAGGAACTTAAACTTTATGGTTGCCTTTTCTTAATTTTTATTTTGAGAAAGCTGGACACTACTACAAAATGAGATCCAGCGGAGAGCGGATAAAAGGGACGGGTAACCTACCAGAGCTGGGAGACAGTGACGCCCCTCGCCCGTTCTCCTACGTGCACCACGACATGCACTAACTAGTGGTAACTGGTACTGCCATTTCTGCCTGCGCAGGTGAAAATGGGATGTGGAGTCCATCTCACAAAAAGAAGGAATGCTGCTGGTGAATGGTGATGGTGATGGTGATGGTGAAATCAGAGTTTGTGATGATGATTAAAAGGCTCCAACACCTGCAAGTCGCATACTACTCCCTCCGTCCACTGTTATAAGACAGTTCGGATATTTCAAAATAGTCTAATACGGACCTAAATGGGTGAACAAACACGCTAAAACGCGTCTATATACTTTCAATTCAGAAAAAAAGTTAAAAACATCTTATAATGTTGAAAGGAGAGAGTATCTATTATGAACTTAAACCTGGCGATAAGTCAGTGTTCAACTGTGATTGGCGACCAATCAGTAAGTACCGAAACGAGTGAACAAACACGCTAAACCGTGATTGATAAGTCACTGTTCGCTGCGATTGATGAGCATTCAGCAAGCACCACTTAACTGTAATTAGGCGGCTCAATCATTGGGCAGTAAAACAATACAAAACATATATATGCATTGGTAGTATATATGCTGAGGATAAATATGTCCATAATTGCCATTTCAACGACAAATGCAAAATAGAAGTACATGGTAGTATCGTCCCAATATCTGCCCAGTTCTTACACATTAGGAGAGATGATGGTGATTCTAAATATTTTCACCATATCTAAGTACATGGTTTACTACTTTTCGAGACCATATAATCTCATCGACACGAGAAGAATCAAGCAGGATGGTAGTTCAGCCAGAATACTTTCTAGTATCCCCTATCCCGGCCGTCTTGGTACCATTCGGCATCGGATGCGGATGATCAAA